TCAACGTACCACATTTTCCATGTCATTTCTTTAACAGGAGGATGTGTCAGGGTTGAGGAAAAATAGGACCCAAATGCAGAATGAGGAGGGAAGCAGGTTTCAAAATGGAACTTTATTCACAAAAGCTGAAAAAAACAAGAATCCATGAACAGGTACAATGCACAAGGTAGCATCCAAACAAAAAGGGACTGTGACCAACATGAAGGGAGACATGAACGACAAATAATGAACCAACACTGAACACAGGAAGAGACTAGGGGTAATCACGAAACGAGAAACAGCCGGGCAGGGGAGGAGAAACACAAGGGCAACAGGTGAACACAATCAGACAATTAGACACACCAGGGAAACTAACGACAGGGAGGACAGAACAGCAAAATAACCCCACAACTAGACACAATAAAACTCAAACCCTGACAGGATGCCTGCAGCCAAAACCCTCTTCCCGGCTTCCAGCAGTTGGAGAGGTTCTGCTCGCTGCTGGTGGAGATGGGTCTCATCGATGACAAGCTGTCCCTTGTCACCGAGCAGAGGAACGCGATCCTGGCTGCCTGGGATGCAGTGGAGGACCACGACAAACAGCAGCAGAAGTTCAACCAGCTGTACAGAACGCACTGGGGCAACACCCTGTACTGCCGCACTAAACGGCACAACCTTGTCGATGCTGCTGTGATACAGCGCGTGAAGATGGGCATTCGCTACGCAGTGCAATGAACAACAGGCTTATGTACACGCTGGTGAAACTGCTGTGGTTGAAGTCAGAACAGGGTTCTCGCACAAGCCCTGAGAAGACCACTATCTTGAAGGCGTACGAGAGGATCCAGCACCGGGTTTTGGTGGACGATCCCGTCTTGTCTAAAGCAGACTTTCTGCTGCCAAAGATAAACATTAAGACGGTGCGTGACTCTATCCGCGCTCAAGAACGCCTCCTCAACCTGCGTGCGACCACCCAGCCAGCGATGCTCTCAAAGACGACTTCCGTTTCCTCTGCCCACTTGCCTCCAGCGCCACACCAGCCCTCTCTCCACCAGACTACCCGCTGATGCAGTACGTGCCGACACCCAGCACGGCAGGAACCCAGTCATTGAAGGGAAGGAGGGACATGATCATGCCTCTCTCACACCCTCAGACATCACTGCCACCTGTGTCACCGCCACGTCCACCAACCCCCAGACCTCCCCCTCTCCATCCACAGCAACCCGGGCGATTGCTGGCCCCTCCACGAGGCCCATCGTGCCTGCCATTGCTGGACGTCCCATACTGCTTGCCACCAGTACCATCGCCAGACCTGTGCCCTCCCTTTTCCCTGGCCCCATCCTGCCTGCCAGTCAGCCAACCCCAGCCATTGCTGGCCCCTCCCCAATGCCCTTACTACCTGCCATTCAGGCAACCCCGTCTGCTGATGTGTCTGTCCCCACTACTCTCGAGTGCATTCCCTCATCCTGGGCAAGGTCCACGCTTTACAAGCGCAAGGGGATGGACGAGCCCTCGGGAGTAGGTGTCCCGGGTTCAAAGGCTGCCATTGTGCACGTGCTGTGGCCAACCCACCCAGGGGCACAACAAGTACAGGCGCAAAGTCTTCTGCCCTGTGAAGAGGATGTCTCCATCAAAGGGTCTGGAGAACACAGTCTACAACAGTTACAACATTTTACAGCTGTTGTTGACGCTTTGGAGCAATGACCTGTTGCTATGTAAATATTGTAAATAGTCATTTAAATGTTTTTCAACTTGCTGTTTTATCATTTTTATTTTTCATGTTGAGTTTTATATTTATTATGTATATTGTAAATATATGTACGTTAGGGCTGTGCGATTATGGCAAAAATCATAATCACGATTATTTGGTCAATAATTGATATCACGATTATTTTGACGATTATTCATTGACCATTTATTGAACTTTAAAACAAATAATATTTTACCAATAAACAAGATCAAAAGATCAATAAATGTGTTGGAGCGCACTTCCAAAACCATACTAAACATATATTAATATGATAAATAAAAATAAATTAGACCAAAATAAATGAAATCAAATATGTTGCAGTGCACTGTCACAACCTACTGAAAACTCCTTAACATATAGCCAACATTTTGGTAAAACATATTCAACATATTCCACTCAGTTAAACGTTGAAGGCTGGCCAACCGTCATGGTCCAGAAGTAACAGGAAATAAATGTTGAACTACAATTTAAGACCAAATAAAAATGTTTAGGCCACCATGGCAAATGCTGGTAGGGCTGCTCATGTCATCTCTTAAAGATGTTTTGCAAGAAACACCAGCCTGTTGACATGGTCTGGTTTCAGAGATGAGCGCAGGCAGGTGACGATATTGCCACCTGTACTGAAGACCCTCTCTGAAGAGGAACTTGTGGCAATGCTGCCACATGACACAGGACAAAAAGAAAAGACTCTGAAGAACCCTTTCTTTGCCATTATATAAAAATAGTGTTGCTACAAAAGTATAAATTAGGCTTACTAATAAGACAACTCAGATCTGAAGCTACACAGTAATCTGCTGCAGCAACAGTGCAATAAAAAAGACAACATTAATAGAATCAAACCCATTTTTTGTTGCATTTTATTAGAGTATAAAAATAAATGCCTTTAAAATAGGATGCAAGCAACACTAGTTTCTGAACTGATAGACTATAATCAATTTAAACAGAACAGATCTTAATGTTTGCATTCTTATACCATTTTGTACAATAATTATCATGAATAAATTCAAACAAACTAAAACTTACAGCAGATTAATAACGGTATCTAAATTGAGTTTTTATTATATCAAAAACCTGTTGAAATGCTTCTGTTATTTTTACTGTCCCCCAAAAGCGCGTCGCAGCCTCCAGGAAAGCTTCTTTCACAACTTCGCCGTCTTCGAAAGACTTCATGTGTTTCGCAAGAACGTGACTGACACGATAAGATGCTATGGTAGCAGCCTTGCTCTTGTTGTTGGGCCTGGTGAAAATGGACTGCTGTGCATTTAGTTGTCCTTTCAGGCCCCTCCCCTTTTGGAGCGTAGGGCAGAATTAGGAGGGAATTCCGTCTCGTAGCGTTTGTGCACTGTTTTGAAATGCCGCTCCTAAATTACCCTTCTTCGATAAAGCCACGCTCGCATTGCAGATGAGACAGATGGACTTTGAATTGGAATAGATACAAAAATAATGATCCTCCCACTTGGAGTGCAAATTATATATTTTGGGCTTTTTTGCTTCTGCCATAATTGCGGTCTTGTGTGTGTGCGGACTGTCACTCCTGTTGACCATCCATGCTGTTGACACGGACAACGTCAGCGAACTAGTGCACTGCTCACCAGCCACGCCCGGACACATGGGGTGAGGCCGGCCAATCACAAAGCTTTGATGCGTTCAAGTGCATTATTCTGGCACGGGAACATTATGTTACAGGACATTAACGATAAAACAGAATATTGTTGTTCTATTTTTAGACACATCTCGCGATCGACTGGGAATCTCCCCGCGACCCTTCTTTTTAACTAGTTGCTGCTCTTGTTCCGACATCTTCGCTTGCGCTGAACACTCACAACACATGTCACTCCCACGTGGCCGAGTGGGCTTTTAGGGAGGGGCGAAAGCGCACCCAGCAAAAATAATCGTATTTTGTCAATTATGCTGTTTTCCTAATCGTCGCAAACCATAATCGCGATTAAAATGCGATTAATTGCACAGCCCTAATGTACGTCATTAATGTAAATAGTTTTATGTACATTACATGTTACTTAGACAATTTTATCCAAAGCGACTTCCATACTCAATACTGTGTAGTGAAGTGTCTTGCAAAGGGACACAATGACATGCTGACTGCAGTGGGGTTTGAACCTGTGCTCCCCTGATCCCAACACCAACGCACTGCACCACAGCCTCCTGTCCATAATTGTACATATGATTTGTATCCACTTGAGCTTTTTTACCTGTGTTTATGTTGTTGCCATCCTTTATACTGAATCAATGAAGGTGAATGGTTGCTCAGAAAAAGTCCTAAAGAATCCAACTGGGTTCAATAGCTGGATCATTCCTGTTCTTCTTCTGCAGTGGAGTGAGACAAATAAATCCTGGGATCTACAAAAGTGAATGTGTTTCATGCATCTGATTTGTATCCACTTGAGCTTTTTCACCTGTGATTACCTTAGTTTATGCTGTTGGCATCATTTATACTGAATCAATTAAATACTTTGCCAGAAAGGTCAAACTTTAGGAATACAGAGCAGTCCCATCAGTGCAATTGTTACATTCTAATTTCTCTGATATTGTAGGCAGTAATTATTTATTATATGTAAATACTTTTAAGTACATAATTATGTTTATAATTGTACATAATTTAACTGTAACTGTTACGACCCCCTTCACTCCACTAGGGGTCTCTGCCTTTGTGTTCTGCTTGCTGGCTCTTGTTTGTGTTTCAGGTGATCAACCTGATGAGCCACACCTGGGCCGTCTACATAAAAGGCCAACACCAACCCATACTGCGGGCTCTCACTCTGTTGGACGCGGCCGCGTCTTTGTTTCTGCACATTTTCACACACCCATATACACGCAACCATTACTGATAACTGACTTCCACATTTATTAGGTTTCTTTGAAGACCTTTGGTTTTTGTGGTATTGTAAATAAATAAATATGCTTTTTGTTACACTTAACTCTCCCATCTTTGTTGCAGCCTATGAGCCAGGCTGTAACAGTAACACTATGGTGTTTTCAATTGAATGCACTTTATACAATAAAGTGGTCAGTGCTACAGTAACAGTGAGTTGTGAAATATGAATTATTAAATGCAATAATGGGGATTAATTTGTTTATCTAAATATAGGGACAAAGGTAGAGTGCCACATTACTTGCACAGTACTCAATGCTCAGATGACTTGTTCATGCAAACATTTAAGTTGCTTGAGTCAGACTCAGAAATATAAACCACTTTTAAAATCAGACTCAAGTCATAAGGAAATCCATAAAGATATCTCACTGAAGAAAAGACACATTTGAATGAAATAAGCTTTATTTGAATGAGACTATACAAATACAGCTCTCATGACATCAGGAGGAGGAAACAGCTAGCTTGGCTCTCATAGTTTTCCCACACTCTTAAAACCACTATGGTTTTTCTCCTGTGTGAGCAGGAAGATGTTTTTTGAGATTACTTGATGTAGTGAAAGTTTTCCCACACTCTTCACACCAGTACGGTTTTTCTCCTGTATGAATACGGTGATGTGATTGGAGAGTATCTGATCTACTGAAAGTTGTCCCACACTCTTCACACCAGTACGGTTTTTCTCCTGTATGAATACGGTGATGTGATTGGAGAGTACCTGATGAAGTGAAAGTTTTCCCACACTCTTCACAGCTGTATGGCTTTTCTCCTGTGTGAATACGTTGATGTATTTTGAGATTACTTGATGTAGTGAAAGTTGTCCCACACTCTTCACAGCTGTACGGTTTTTCTCCTGTGTGAATACGTTGATGTGATTTGAGAGCATCTGATCTACTGAAAGTTGTCCCACACTCTTCACAGCTGTACGGTTTTTCTCCTGTGTGAATAAGTTGATGTGATTTGAGAGTATCTGATCTACTGAAAGTTGTCCCACACTCTTCACAGCTGTACGGTTTTTCTCCTGTGTGAATACTTTGATGTATTTTGAGAGCACCTGATGTAGTGAAAGTTGTCCCACACTCTTCACAGCTGTACGGCTTTTCTCCCATGTGAATCCGTTGATGTTTTTTGAGATCACTTGATGAAGTGAAAGTTTTCCCACACTCTTCACACCAGTACGGTTTTTCTCCTGTGTGAATACGTTGATGTATTTTGAGATCACTTGATGAATTGAAAGTTTTTCCACACTCTTCACAGCTGTACGGTTTTTCTCCTGTGTGAATACGTTGATGGCTTTTGAGAGTATCTGATCTAGTGAAAGTTGTCCCACATTCTTCACAGCTGTACGGTTTTTCTCCTCTGTGAATACGTTGATGTGATTTGAGAGCATATGATCTACTGAAAGTTTTCCCACACTTTTCACAGCTGTAAGGCTTTTCTCCAGTGTGAATAAGTTGATGGCTTTTGAGAGTATCTGATCTACTGAAAGTTGTCCCACATTCTTCACAGCTGTACGGTTTTTCTCCTCTGTGAATATGCAGGTGGCGCTTTAAAGTTCCAGATGTTGAAAAGGATTTGTCACATTGCTGACAGCTGTACTGTCTCTCTCTTCCTTTCGGTTTCTAGAACAGACGGACAGAGAAAGACAATCTAAAAAGCATGAATACACTAGTTAACTCAATAAAAACTCACTTAATATAAACCTTGAGTTAACAAAATACTACTTAACTGTTTGGGTTTATTATATTTGATACAGTAATACAGCAACATTCTAACCACAGTATATACCAGAGGTGGGGGACTCGAGTCACATGACTCGAGTCGCATATTTTTTGACTTGAGACGACTTGCTTGACTAACATTGATAAAAGACTCGACTTAACATTTGTTCAAGCACCGGATCGGCAAAACAGGAGAGTGTGCGCACCAGTCTGCCTTGACCTATGTATTCATGTCTGTGACTCTCACAGTATCTGCTGCCCACAGCTGTTTTATAGAGGGAAAACCTCCTTCACTTCATGAAATCTCTGCAGCATCAGGAGGCAGTAATGTGTCACTCAGCAGAATCTGAGAAGAGCAGCACCAGCTGCAAAGAGCTGTGCCTTTTACTGTTTACTTCACTCTGTTTACCTTCATTAGAACAGCTAAAGAGCGACCGCAGGCTGCTACGTTTTAACCACATGAACCACCACACACACCTCCCCAATTATTCCCCCTTTTACCTGTTTTATGTTTTCAGAGCCCCACTCTCCATTGTTGATAATGTGGAAAATACAACTCTAGTTTTCATAACCACTGTCTTTTAACTGATTTAAATGCGGAAACTGGGGTTATTCATCAGGATTTCGTAGGACTTGACTTGCTTGACTCTTACCCCAGTAACTTGGGACTTGCACATGTATGTGCAAGTCTGTATGTACTCCCACCTCTGGTATACTGGAGACAGAGGGAGACGGCATCCTGCCACCGCGAGTCTCAGTATGCTCCGTTCGTCTTGTGTTTTAGTTTTTTTGGTCTAATTATTGTCTAAACTTTGTCGTGTCTTTATGAAACGTCATTTTGAGAGACCATGTTTTTGATCCTGTGGATTACATTTGCCTTCTGCAGACCATGTCTGGCCATACAACTTTCCAAGACACACCTGAGTGACAGCACAAACAGGTATGGCGAGGATCCCCAGCCTCTACGCTGCTACAGCCGCGAGGCTATGCTAGAGCTACAATGCGATCGGCCTCCTACGAATACACCAAGCCATCTGTGCTCTTCGTTATTGGATGACATCCCATAACGACTTTGGTGGCCTTTCCATATAGCGTAGCGCCGGCTAGCGGGTACTTTTTCCCTCTTTTTCCGGCCTCATAAAATCGTGGTTCCCTCAGACCAGGGCCAGGGCTGAACTAGTGACGTCAACACTCTCGACTGCTGATTGGTCAGAGAGAATCGTCACAAGATTGCGCGCGAGTTCATCCCTAGCGTCGCATATATATCTAGAAGCAAGCTTGCAGCATTTTTATAAACAGCATTTTGTAAACGGAGGAGCTACAAAAATGGCTACGTCTAATAAGAAAAGCACACCGTGGTCGACCGAGGAGGTGACGACGTTCCTACATCTCATTGGGGATGATCAAATCCAGCGGGAGCTCGACGGAACAACTCGAAATGTGAACAAAAACAAAGCCGATCGCCCCGCCTACACTGCGTTGCTACCCCAGGTCCTAAACTGTAATGGAAATGCGCCACGGCCTGGGCCGGCCAGCGAGGCAGCCCGAGGCCAGAGCGAGGACGCTTAGGGACGCTTAAACGGGGCTACCCCGCTGCAGTGGAAACGCGCCATAAGAAGAGCCGGCTCTTTCGGCTCCCAAACGGCTCTCCATGTTACCACAGTTTACCAGAGCCTCAGTTTCGCCAGTTCACGCGCGTGCTCCACTAGCACCCCCCGTCAAGGCTCGCCGGCAGTACACTTTCCGTCACAGAAACACGCTTTGCAGGTGGCGAAAAGAATCCCACCAGACTCCTTTGCCCCTCCAACAGAGGGATGTCCTTGTCCTTTTCGTCATTTCAAGCGATAAAAACTATTTTGGACGCCCTCGACTCGAGTTCAGGGCGTTGCGAGCTGAATAAGGGCCTCAAATGACGGCAAGACGCCCGCCTGGCGGAAACGCTGGAATTAGGAATATATTGTGATGAAGTGCACACTGACCTGAGCTCCAGGGGTCTCCTTGTTCTCCTCCATGCTGCTGAAAATGATAGAAAGGTCAGATAGTTATTAACAATAAAAAGTTATTATTATTAATATAATTCAAATATTTATATATACTTCTTCTTAATCTGTGTAGCAATTTACATTCTAACTTACAGCAGAGTTTGTTCACTTTTATTTCATTAAAATGACTTTATTCACATAGAAAGTGACATTAATGGTCGTTTGAACCACGGTTATAATGCTATCTGTGTCATTAACTATTACTAAGTTAACACAGAAAGCAAACATTAGCTAGTGAGATTGTTTAATGTACTCCATGTATACAGTATTTTCTGCATATTGTGTATTCTTTAGATACTCTAGTGCAGGGGTAACTACAATTCAACGAGGTCCAGAAAATGTCCCCGTGCAAAGGTCCGGAACTTCAAAATGTCTAACTTGCTTTATGAATTAGTGTGATATATTGAATTAGCCTGTAGCTTTATCAATGTCTGTGTAACGGGTAGGGTTGCCAACCGTCCCGTATTAGCCGGGACGTCCCGTATTTGAGCCAAAAGGGGCGTGTCCCGTACGGAACTTTGTTTGTCCCGGACTCCCGTGTAAAGGGAAAAATAAAAAATATTTTTCTGTTTGCGCGCAATGCAGTGTGTCTGGCTGCGTGCCTGTGTGTTTATGTGCTGTATCCGAAGAGCGCTAGGACCGCTCAGTTGACAGGGCAGGCACAATGCTCGCACGTGTGTGTGAGACTTTCTCCGGTGGGCCGCGGGCGCGGCATCACTGTTTGTGTGGCATGTCAGCCTGTTCAGTCGTGTGGGAAAATGAGTGCTGCCGGTGGAGGAGGTGATCATGAAAGAGGAGGAGAGAGAGAGGATGTGGTTCTGGGCCCTGGCCCTTCTAAAAAGAAAAGACTTGTGTCTTACAACAAACAGTGGAAGAAAAACACAGTTGGGGTAAAGCCCGTGAGTGGATATCTGTCTCGGGTCTTCTGCGTGTGTGTGTGTGTGTGAGAGTAAGTCAGCTGATTGATGGGAAAATGCTGGGAAAGTGGTTGGTTGAAGGATAACATTAAGTCTAATAATGATGTACCGTGCATGTTCACATCATGTATACTTTGCATTACTTAATACAATTTTTCAAATATTTATTTTTTAACATTTTGGACAAAATAGCCAATTGTACATCGAGGTGCCCAGATGTCCCTAGTGCCTACCTATCCGATTTGAACATGCTGATGTACAATGTGATGTAGTAGCGTAGCCTAATGCAGGTGTAAGACCATTGTGTTTGTATTGTGTTATAGGTATGCATAGTTTTCTATGCATTTTGATGGTTTTGACCCCTCGAACCCTAGGGGGCTGGCTCCCCCAAAATAATTAAATAACATAACCCTAACCCCGAAATAAAGTAACAAAAAAAAGTAACTAAATCCGCCAGAAACCCGAAAATCTTCGCGCGCACGCGCGTAGGGGACACATTCCTGTGTCCTGTTTTTCCATTTCTGGAAGTTGGCAACCCTAGTAACGGGTCACAACTGTAAGCGACCTGTTATCCTTCAATTAAGACAGCGAAGCATCTGGGGTGTTTTCTGGCATTTATTCTGAGAACAAAAACAATATTCTCCTTGAATCCATAGTAGGGCCTGGCTCATTTCGTGGCATCTGCAGGCAGTGGCAAGTCCTTCCGGCATATGCCACAGGGGCCACTACTCTGTGGTAGCTGTGGCAAGTACTTCCGGCATATGCCACAGAGGCCGCTACTCTGTGGTATCTGTGGCAAGTACTTCCGGCATATGCCACAGATGCCACAACTTCCCGAGGCATCTGCCGCTGCTCAACGGGAGTTGCCACAAGATGCCAGAGTAAGAGAACGTTTACGGTAGCTGCCACTCACCTTCCGTGGCAAATGCTGCTATTTAAACCCGTATTTATCGTGTAAAATGTCGCTGTTTTGGCATGACTTTATCGAACTGATCTGTACAGGACTGATGATCTGTGCACAGGGTTGGGTTGTAACTGAATACATGTAACGGCGTTACGTAATCAGAATACAAAAACCAAGTAGCCTAACTGTATTCAGCTCGCGTTACATTTGAAAAACAACTAATCCGAATACAGTTACTTTCGTAAACCTGAAGTGAATACTTATTGGAATTATTGGTAGAAAAGTTTCCTCACAAAATGTATCCTAATATTCATTACCGGCAGAACTGTGTGCACAGCGCAGCAGCATGTCTGTGAGGCCCCGCCCCCGCACGCAGATGAGACAGAGATCTCTTTTTAAATATATTGAAAGTTAGAAACGGAGATGGTTCGATAAAACGTGCAAGATAACGTTTATGTAGCATTTCTTTATTGTCGAAATGATGACATTTCATAACTGGATCAAATCAAAGTGAATGGCCTGCTGCTGCTGAAGGCATGGGGCAAATATAAGTCCTTTGCCTAATTTATAAAGTAAACCTTAGCATCTCACTAGCAGTGGCAACTGCAATCAGTTACAGCTGCCCTAAGTCTGTAGCCAAGTCTAATAACACCAGTGTACACGTTGCTGTGTCAATACAGATATGTATTTGTTCATTATTTGTATTTACTAGTCATACACCTGGTTTATCGTAGCAAGCAGTGGAAACTCCCCTCAAGAAGCGAAAATTGCCAAGGGCGTTGCAACCCTCACTCGCCAATATTTCATCATAAATATAGCACGTTTGTTTATTTGAGCAAACCATGCTCCAAGTAAAATTGGATAGAAATTATAATGTTCAAAAAAATAGAGATCGGACCATCAGTCCTGTGCAGATCAGTTCGATAAAGTCATGCCAAAACAGCGACATTTTACACGATAAATACGGGTTTAAATAGCAGCATTTGCCACGGAAGGCGAGTGGCAGCTACCGTAAACCTTCTCTTACTCTGGCATCTTGTGTCAACTCCCGTTGAGCAGCGGCAGATGCCTCGGCAAGTTGTGGCATCTGTGGCATATGCCGGAAGGACTTGCCACAGCTACCACAGAGTAGCGGCCTCTTTGGCATATGCCGGAAAGACTTGCCACAGCCTGCAGATGCCACAAAATGCGCTTGCTGTCTCTCTGAATCCACGTTGCACATCCTCCGCAGCACTCACTTCAATGTCACTTTACTATTTATTCATACATACTAGCTTATTTATAGATTAAGACATTCTTAAATGAACAAGAAAATCTTATTAAGTAATCACACAAAAATACAAACACAAACATACCTGAGAACAAAAACAATATTCTCCTTGAATCCACGCTGCACATCTTTATAAAAGAAAAGAAAGGAAGGGTTAACATGTAAACAAAGAAAATGATGCAGATCGTGTCTAATTCCCGCCAAAACCACACCACAGATATCACTAAAAAAAAATACAATTTCCTACGGTGGAAACCCAACAAAAGCGGGTCAACAATGTACCCAAATTAACACTCAACAACACACATCACTTCCATCTACCCAAACAGCCGGTCCATCACACAGAACCGCAATGATTTGTAACACCTCTCCCAGCACAGCTTACCCTCCGCAGCACTCACTTCAATGTGAGGGGAAAGCAGAAATGACATACAGGAAATAGAAAAAGATGTGAAACGGGAAAGTGTTCCCACCAGAAACATAACTCAAGAACATCAAAAGGAAACAATCTCATGCAAATTAAATTCACAACCTATTATAAATCGTAATTTATAAATAATAATTATGTCTACACATTTTTAACTCTGTTACATAACGAAGGTAACTTCGTTACTATGGACTGACGGCTTTGGGCCCTTGTAATATTGCACATGTGGGTTTGCACTTTTTATAACAACTTCCTTTTGCACAGAAATAATGTCCCTCAGCACTTTAGTAGTGAACAGTTTGCATTTTATTAGTGGGATTGCACAGTACAGTTTGACAGTGCATATTTGCATATTTTTAAATATGTTATACTAATTATTGAGGTAGTATTTATGAAATGATTAAGGCGAGACACGGCAGGCAAAAACATAGTTTTTCAAGTACTGGTCAATTTTGAGATTTTGTGCTATTTTGATTATATAACATGTTTTCTTTCAGGCTTTTGGAAGGAAAACGTACAAAATACACAAGTGTTTATTTTACTATAGTTTGTCTATTTGCGTCAGTAGATCTCTCCTAAATTCACCAAAAGTTAGCATTCTAACGTAACATAAAGTACCGCGACCGCTGTGTGCACCATGTCAACAGAGGTATCGCTGGAAAGCTGTGTCTCTCCTGCACAATCTCATCGGATCCAAATATGGTCATTTCCTTTGTATCAGCAACCAATCGTGAAAGCACAAAGGGGTCTTAAACCAAGAAACAAAATCTCATTGGCTGGTGTCAATTTCTGACAACGTGATTCGTTCTGATGCATCACGGGGTGTGCTAAAACACTTCCTGGTTAGCTTTCAGCTAGAAATGTAAATCTCAAAATGGCAAAAGAACGGCGAAAAAAACATTTACAGAGAAGACGACAACAATTGTCACTTGCACGAAGCAAGGTTATACAAAAAAGAAATGACCCCGAACATGAAATACCTTCACGGAGTGTGTCGATACGCAAGCTGTCATCCAGAGAACAGGAGGGTTTAGCTAGCGCCTCACTGCAATCTTTAAAGGTCGTTTTCTCAAAATGAGTTTTTTTCTCCTACTCTGAGTTTGAAATGTCAACTTCAGTAGCACGTAGAATAGATACACCAAACCTTCCAGTTATCCATCCATCTTCTCCCGCTTATCCGTGGTCGGGTCTCGGGGGTAGCAGTTCCAGCAGAGAGCCCCAAACTTTATTTTCCCTGGCGACATCAACCAGCTCTGACTGGGGGATCCCAAGGCGCTCCCAGGCCAGCGAAGAGATATAATCCCTCCACCTGGTCCTAGGTCTACCCCTTGGTCTCTTCCCAGCTGGACGTGCCTGGAACACCTCCCTAGGGAGGTGCCCACCTTCCAGTTATATTCCTATCAATATTATGAAGGCTTTTACAGAAGGGTTTGTTCATATATAATTCATAGCCTGAATTATACAACATTGTATACCTAAAAACATGGCACAAATTTATATTTTAGGGCTGTTGACAGTATTTTCTGATTTATGGAATGATAAAAAGAGATATCCAATATCCCTTCTGTAAAAGCCTTAGATACTAATTTGACTACAAAATGAAACAAGAATTTTGAACCTGGCTTTATCCAAAGTTCAGATTTCGATTCCTGAAATGTGTTAAAATATGCACATATTTAATGAGATATTAATGATTAATGAGCATATTTAAACAAGCTATTTTAGAAAACTTGTAATACAAAAAACAATTGCCTTATTGTAAGTAATTAACTGGAGACATTTCTAGCTGATACCTTTAAGTTAAAACATTTTTAATTACCCTATTCACCTGGAGTGTCTCGCCTTAAACCGTATTAATTGGAATGTCGTCTGGCAGATACTGGTCGGGTCCTCGGCTCCACCTGAAAAGAGAGGGGAGTTAGCGAGAGCGCCGAAAGTGTTTATGATTGTGTAAGATTGACAGCGGTTGAGATTAATCATTGTGTGCAAATAATAGTATCGGCGTGTATATAACATGACGTTAAAGTTGCTTTTGATTGTATAAGTGGACACTGTAAAGTCTACATTTATCACTCACCATGTTGTTTCGTCCTGTGTCCGCTCCAGTGTGTTTGGCCGAAAGGTCCTCGGGGGGAACAAACACTGACAAAGAAGGTTCCGGGACGAACCAAGTGGCGAGATAGGCATAGGGGGTTCTGTCTTAGTTGGGAATGCAGTTATGTTTATTGTGGACAGTTATACTGTTGTTCTTATGTTCAATTAACAGATGGCTATGTATAACTAATAATGCTATGTAAATTATATTGTGGATCTTCTTTATAATAATAATAATAATAATAATAATAATAATAATAATAATAATAATGACACATGTATTTATTAAGTGTACCTGTGAATGGTTTCTCCCAATCAAAATCCTCTGAAGAACCTCTAACAAAAGAGCCAGTCTTCAGTCAGAGTAGGGCGGTGAATAGGGAGGCTTGTGGCGCAGTGGATAGAGCCTTGGTGTTGGGATCAGGGGTCACATGTTCAAACCCCACTGCAGTCAGCATGTCGTTGTGCCCCTGGGCAAGACACTTCACCCCAAATTGCTCCTGTGGGGATTGTCCACAGTACTGAATGTATGTAAGTCGCTTTGGATAAAAGCGTCTAACAAGTAACATGTAATGAACTAGTGATGGCGAGATGAAGCCTTATGAAGCTATGAAGCTTTGAAGCTTTGACGCTTTCCAGACAATTGGTTCGCAAAAGGGTTCATCTCATGAGGCTTCATCATGGGCTTCATTTGAACACAAACCCCCTGTTGGTCAAAGTGTGTAAAACAGGTAGATTGGAAATCTCAACAGTGTGCTCAATCTCATACCGAGTTCCCAATGAGTAAAGCCTTAGAATAACTCTAAGCAACGAACATAAAATCATATTTTCATGTTAACAATATTGTTTTAAAGTTGATTGTGATTGAAAAGCCTAAGGAGGCTGGTAAACATTGCAAAGAGGGATTTGTATTCCTTACTAATATTCATAAACTTAACCATGTTGTAGCTGGAGAAAGGCTAAACCATATCAAAGAATACATTTATTAACTACATTATCTAATTTAGCTGTAGCTTTTATAAACAACAAAAAATACGTATTGAAGAGTCGTTTTCCAGCTGAGCCACAGCACACACGCTGAATCTCCCTGAAAACACTGTAAGATATGTATTCATGTATTTATTAATTTATTCATTCATGTTTTTATTCCTACATTTATTTATGCCTGTATCTATTTATACTTATGACATGTTCCGAACTTCCGACCTCTATATAAGTGAGGTTCTGAGCTCTTTTAATTCCATCGTGTCAGCACCGGGCCCTGGTACAGGAGGGGTAATATGGTTCTTATACATCCATGGGTATTATGAGCGTTGTGGTTCAACGGTTCAACCGATCTGAATCGCTTCCTGAAGCAGTCACGTGGTATCGACAGGCAGCGAGGCTTCGTTTGTCATCGATGACGTCACTGGCCCAAAACGATACAAGCCTCGATACATGCTTCACAAAAAGCTTCGGGGATTACTTGACACACGCTCCGAAGCCTCGGCGCAATACGTAACTTCACTACGGTGAACCTGTACAGAGAGGGGTGAACACCTACATGCTGGCTACTGTTCTCTTGTGGTGTTTTTGGGAATAAAGTCACCATGGTTTGCAATACTACCTCCTCTCGTGTTCGATTATTTCCCTGAAAATCCAACCGCTAAAGGGTCGCTGTCTCACAGTGTAATGTTCCTCTCAGGCTGCATTTAAAAATAAAATAGAGAAAATAAATAAAATAGCTTTTGAAAATATGTGTATCTCTTAAAAGTGCTTAATTTTAGATAAATAAAATAAAGTGTAGCAGCAGCTTGAGTTTCCCTTTTTCTTTGTTAACCGTTTCACATCACACTGTAAAAAAAATATTTGGGATTTTAGTTCCTTTAACTCATTTATGTGAGTCAGGTCACCTACATTTGGCCAAAAAGTTGAGACAACTAGAAACGTCAAGTTTTAATCCATTCAAACTTGTCTGTGAAATTAAAATAGTACACTCAATTCAGAATGATGAGTTTGCTCAGCTTTTGCATATGCGCAGAACACTGCCTTTGCAAAATTGCGTGTGTCAACCGTGTCAACCTATACAGTCTGGGGTCAACCCGTACATCCAGCATCCTCATGGAAATAATTGTAAACTGAGCCATGCGCTGTGCGGTGGAAATTGTGAAGAATTACAAAAGGTGAGTTAATAATAGCTTTTTTCCGAGTTTAATGTTCAAATGTACCTATTTGTATGTATGTATAACGTTTATTAGAGGCTAAACCTAACTAACCACGGTGGCTGTTTTCCCCCTCTTAGTTAGTGTAGCTAGCTAACGTTAGCTAGCAAGTGAATTCAGTCGTTGCAAGAGCGAAAATGTGCATGGGGGTTTCAGAATGGTTTAGTTTCCTGGGATATATTCAAGATTCAACATCTGTATTGGCCATGTACATGCTTCACACATACTAGGAATTTGTATAGAGCAGTGGTTCTCAACCTTTTTCAGCTTGCCAGCTATCTTCAAAATGACCAACTGGGGGGGGGTTGCGGGGGTGCTAGGGCGTTTACTAGGGATGCTCCTATCAAACAAAACAACATAATTATTACATTCAAACTAACTACGTAGATGAAGTACATAATTCAAACGTTTAGATTCACTTTGGATAATAACACGGGAGAAACGGAGGCTCTCTTTTCCTCTCTCCCCTCTCTCTCCTGACAGCCGGTCAGTTTCAGACTCATGCAGCTCGCTAATCCGGTAATGATTATTCTTCACCGGACAGTGAAGAATAAACATATTTATAACTAGTTTAGCTTGTTCCAGAGGTAGATAAAATAGTTAAAGTGGACCTATCATGCTATATTTGAATAATATAGTGTAGGACCATACCTATATAAGGCACATTTATACTTTTTATTTTTCAAAATACCAAACAGATCATGTATTTTAGCCATTCCTCATTTCGCTCAATTTAACACTGTCTTTTCATGGGCTGATTCTGTGAGAACAGCACCATCTACAGGCCTGGCATATGTACTACAGCAGGGGTGGCCAACCAGTCAGAGGTTAAGAGCCACATTTTTTCTATGTTACTGCAAAGAGCCACATCAAACACACAGTCACTGATACCGCTTGTTTCAGTTTTTTGTTTTCTGGAGACAAGATTTCAACCACGTCACTGATGCATTTTTGTGGCATTGGGATATATTTTTTTTAAATCCTCTGGAGCAGAGAGAGGAGCTGTGGATTATTGTTATTGATTAATGCATCAGTGTTTCTTAGGGTCAAAAACACTAAACTCACAACTTAAAATGAAAGCGTTTAGTTTATTTAATAAAAGAGCACATGTTCAATGTGAAAAGTGACAGTAGTTATAGATTATTTGCAATTTGGTGCTATATATTTAAAAAAAAAAGTATATATATATATTTTTTAAAACACCTTGAATTTCAGGGGGGCTCCGTTGGCGGGGCGCAGCGCCCCT